CGGCGGGCAGCCAGCCCTCTTTGGACTTGTCGAGCGGGCCCTTGTCGGCCGGGTGCAGGTGGCAGCCTGCTTTGCCCTTGGCCACGGCGTGCAGGTGGTTTTCTTGCTTTGGTCTCGCATCTTGTTCTTTTGCGTCTAAGTCCTGGTGCAAAGATGCTTTCGAGCTGCATTGCAAAGTGTTCTCTTTGTCGGCTCTGCGAGGGGGGGTCACCGCAAAGCCGGGATCCCACGACTCTTCTGGCAGAGCTCTGAAAGAGCTCTTTTGGGACCCCAGACAGCCGTCTAAGCTGTCCTCGCTGCCGTTCACATTTGCCACCTTGACCGAGATATAACCTTCCACGAGAGTCTTACCTGCTAGCTGCTCTTTATTGTCCTCACACTTTCTGACACCGGCTTCTTGCTCGTGTCCAGCGGCTTGCTGCCCTTCCAGGCTCTTTGCGGCATGATGGAAATTCAAAGAGGAAGAGTTCAACGTGCTGAGGTATCCTTGGGTGGAGCTATCCTTTGGACTAGCAGAACGAAGCCTGGTGATGGGGAGCTCAGAGAAGTCCCTTCTCAAAGCAGGACTGGAGCTGTCTGCTCTGTCCAGAGACCTCAGCTCCGCCGGCTGCTTCGGGGCTTGTCCTGTAACATGCAGGGGGCCATCGGGCCCCGACTGTCCTGGGTCCAAGGAAGAAGGGGGTCTTGATTCAGTACAAGTAGCACCCTTATCCTGATTTTCAGTGCTTCGCTGGCTACAACCAGAGCCACAAGTAGAGGCCTCCATGCTCTCGGATTCAGACAACTGCTGGCCCTCAGAGTCTGGTTGTACTTCAGTGTATATGTCGTTGAGCACACGAATGAATTGCTTCTGGTGATGTGTACACAGTCTGACCATAAACTTTTCCAGTGGAGACTTCGGCTGATTGTTAGAGTCTATTGCTATTGTCTCTGCTGCATCCTCTCTAGAGAGACAAAGAGAGAAGCAATCAGTAACATGCCCAGGGAATAAAAGTTTATGCTGCAAAACTGGAACAACCCTTCTCCTCCCACTCAGCATACTGCTTGCCCGACCTCCAGGTGAGATCAAGCATCCCGTTGTCACGGGGCTGGCAGGTACCCCCCAGTCCCCAGCGTGCACACTTATGTGTGCATACTGCCGGCAGGACGCAGCCTGGCACTTTGTTTTGTCTCCCACTGCCAGAGCACCCACAATTACACTTCTGCCTGGGACATCCTGGTGTGTAGGCACCACATGACACGTTCAAAGCAAACCCATGCTTCCCAGTGAGAATCAGATTTAGTATCTGCCCGGTGCCCGGCGTAGAAGGCCCAGCGCTTTGGGGACCCATCAGGATGACTGCACACCTCTGCGCGCTCGATGCGCACAGCCAGGCTGGGTGGGAGCAGAGCAGCGTCCCAGCTGGGCAGCCAGACGCCAGAAATCTTGAACTACTGTAAGTCTTCAAATCCTGCTCATGCCTCAGTGGTGGAAGATGGGTCTAGGGCAAACTGAGCGGACCTGAGCCTCCTCTGCAACCAGTGCAGATATCTAGACGAGCTCCCAGCCTGCAGGACGTGCAGGCAGCAATGCACCCTCGTGTGGTGCGGCGCCTTCCCGTTTGCACCGACCTTTGATTTACTGCCATTTAATAAAGCGGCTCTGCAGCTGACGGGCTGACTGACAACGTGCAGCGGTGGCCGAGAAAGGTGTGTTTCTACAGCACAGCATCACTAGCTAGCTCTCAAACCAAGGTGATCACCATTTACCTGCTTGGCAGAGGCAATTAATTAGGACTTATTGGCGGGGAGGTTAAGGGAGAATTACCCAGTGTTTGCAGGAACTCATCAGGAGTGCCATGCCAGACGCTGTTATCGAGACCGTATCTGCTCCCAACGGCAGCGGGGGCGTTTCCTGCCCAGCCGCCGCCGTGCCGAGGGGGCTGCGCGCCTTGGCACCCGTGCTGTCTGGCGCAGGGCCTTTGCCAGCAATGCCGGTTTGCTTTTCGGTAACGGTTGCACTTTGCACCTCCTGGCCTTGTACCAGAGGAGCGAGAGTTGTTTTCACCCCCTCTACAGCCTTGCTCTCCCCCCCTCCCCAGCATCAGATGCCGACCTCGCTCGCTCGCTGGATCAAA